GTGAGGGTGGGGAATAGTGTAGGAAGGTTGAGAACGAGTTTTGAAAAATATTTTTTCCTTCTCTCGATAAGGAAAAAATTTTCCTCTAATTGGAGGAAAATGAGTTTATAAAGAAAATGTTTTCCAAAACATTTAAGTCAACCAAACATAAGAAAATTCAAAAATATTTTCCGGAAAATGTTTTCCTTGGTACCAAACACACACTAAGTGTATTGCTAATTATATACGTACAATCCCACTTCTGCAATAGATTGAAGTTAGATTCTTTTCATAATAAAGTTATGTACAGATTAATTATTAAACTAAAACTAGACCAAAACTAAAGCTAAGTCGAAAAAGCAATTTAAAGTAATCTAAAGATTTATGCGTTATAATGTCTGCTAAACTAATAATTTTCAGTTAGTTAAAGTGAAAAAGTACGTCTTAGAGATATTAGTGATAGATATTTGATTTCCATTCAGCAGACATNATATTGATTTTTACATTCCTATACCATATATGAATCTATATTATCCTCCCTACTCAACTTTTAATATAATTACATTTTATATACCTAATTACCATTTATATACATTTTAAGAGATTTAATGGTATTAATTAGTTTCCTAATTTAATTCTACCGTATATTCCCACTCCCCCACGTATCAAACCACACCCCATATTTTCCTCTTCAATCACCCACGATTTTCTCTTCTAAAACTAGCCAAAAACTATTAACCCCTCCATTAACGCATTTTGCAAATACTTTCTTCAAAAATCAGTCAAAATTTGTACTCTTCTTCAAAGTTCATACCCCCGTTAACGACTTTTGCAAAGCTAGCTTCAACGATTTTCAATGAAGAAGAACATAGCTTCAAAGAACATTCCTAACAAAGTTAAAGGATCAGATGTTCCACCATTGATAGCCATTAAAAAGATTTGAAGCTTTGAATTCGAATTTGGGTTTTCAAAAAATAATACTTGTTTGAATTGAGTGTTGTTGCAAAACAATTGGAAATTCTCTCTACGTCTCTCTCTATCTCTCAATCCCTAATTCTAGTAATGTAAAGCAAAGGAAAAGAGAGCAGCAATTCCACCATTGATAGCCATTAAAAAGCTTTGAAACTTTGAATTCGAATTTGGGTTTTCAAAAATCATTATTTGTTGGGATTGAGTGTTGTTGCAAACAATTGAGAATATGATTTGGAGTTTAAATCTCAATTTTGACGGTATTTTGGTGAAGATTAGACTTGATTTTTGCTGAATTTCAGATTGAAAGTCGAATATGAAGAAGAAGAAGACGTGATATGCACTATATTTACAAAATTATAGTAAAATTATAGAAATAATGTAAAAAAATTGTAGATAAGTTGTAGATAAGTGTAGATAAATTGTGTAATATATAATTAGTTGTATGAAATTTATTTTTACTATGTATAAATCAGATACAAAATATACAAAAGATATACTGTATAAATTTTATATAAAATTTGTATTTAAGTTATATGTTATTGTAGTTATATTTAACTTGATAGAAATAATGTGCGAAAATTGTAGATAAGTTGTATAACATATAATTAGTTGTATGAAATTCATTTTTACTATGTATAAATCAGGTACAAAATATACAAAAGACATATTGTATAAAATTTGCATTTAAATTGTATGTTTTTGTAGTTGTATTTAATTCGGTAGGAATAATGTGTGAAAGTTGTAGATAAATTGTATAATATATAATTAGTTGTATGAAATTTATTTTTACTATGTATAAATCAGATACAAAATATATAAAAGATATATTGTTTTAAATTTATATCAAATTTGTATTTAAATTGTATGTTAGTTTAGTTGTATTTAACGGGATAGTGTACAAAAAAATTCCCATGAATAAATTGTGTGCTTATAAACGAATTCATAATATGTTAACAAATTGACAACTGAATTTGTGCAGATAGAGAGTTAGAGACAGATAAAACTGATTTTATAAATTCAAACCTAACAAAAAAATTACTTTGAGTTATAATTTGATGCACAAAAAACCTGATGGGGGTCTGTGCCTGAACTTCTACGTTTTCTCTGTATGCTTTTTTCGTCTTTCTCTTGGTTCCTTCAATAACAAGATCTGATTTATAAATATGGAATACCATATTTTAGCCTTCTTTTTGATTTTTTTTGGTTTTATAGTATTTGGTTTGGTTGAAGGGAAGCTTCCAAATTTGTGATGTAACGTGGCTTACTAGCTAAGCTCATTTATTTGCTCCTTTCCAGATTTAAATTTTGATTACAACTGAAATAGTAGGAAATAAAATACAGAATATAAGTAGGGAAAAAATCTAAATTGCATTGATTTGGAGAGAAGAGGGGAGAGAGGAGGAAAAAAAGGAGAATGATGTAACTAAATTCCTTGATTGAAGGCATAAATAATGGATTTGAGAGCTTTTTAAGGTAGATTGTATATTTTTTATAAAAAAACTTGTTTATGCCGGATAATTAACTAAACATGAACATTAAGGGTAATAAAATTTCAAATAATATATATGAATGAAAAAATCACTATTGAAAATTGGCACTCCATATCATTAAAAGAAAAATTGAAAAGCTCTGAGCATAAACTAATTGAGAGGATTTTACTATTAATAAAGACCAATAGTGAGATCTATCATATAGTTCACGTCACTTCTAACAACCTACCAAATATGACAAAACACTTTTGACAGGTATACTAGTCCTTCAAAGCCTGTGCTAAGCCCGGGCCTAAGATCAAGACAATAAAGTTCATAATAATAATAATTTGTATTACGTTTTTAAGCACAAGATTTTT